GGTGAAAAATCATGCGTTTAGTAATTAGAAAAATAGCCCTAATGTCCTTTTCAAAAATATTCTAAATGGAAGAATCTTTGCTGTGAAGTAAATGCTGCTACAGTGTGTGAATTAAAAATCTAGGTAAGCTACCTATGTGAACTATAAGAAAACACCAAACACAGAAATAGTTCCAGAAGCCATCAGTTCAAACTGGGGGAAATGGATAAATGTAGATCTGAAAAGGAATCAGTACTGCAGTGTGTAAGAACATGCATTTCTATCACAAAAATACTTAACATCCAAAGAAATGGTCCCTTTGAGTCAAATACTAGTCATTCTAGGAAAACAGTTGTAAATTATTTAAGTAAATGATTTGAAATACTCAAAAGAGAATGGCAGTTTGTAAAATTAATATCATTTTGAAAAAGGTTTATGTTATAATAAACAACACAGTTGTGTTAATCTAATTAAACCATACCTGAAGCCAGGGTAGCAACATAATTTTATATACAATGGCTCGGTCCCTGGCGTCACCGTAACAGCTCTCATTCATCTGGTTCCTCCACAAACAGCCCAGGTAGCTATAAGCTCTACAACAGGCTTTCTCAATCAGGTCATCAAATGCCTTGGTAGTTGGGGTCCTCAGGTTTTTTCATTTTGATGATGACGGCATGTTTGTGAAGGGTATGAGCAAATTTAAGGATGAAGAATAAGAAGAGGCAGAAAGGGAGGGTGGGGGCCAGATTCTGAAGAGCTTTGAATGTGCATAAAAAACAGAAATTATCATAGGAGAAGGAGAGGGGCTGCTATCAAATTGGAAGGGAAAACCCAAAGGTGCATTGACATGGCACTTAATACTGAGAAAGTGGTTAACTGTGCAGATCATAGAATGTGATTGCCAGTGGAGATAATCATGTTTCCTTTTAACACACTCCTTGGTACCCAACCCTGTTTTATTGCCAATTTTATTATTTGGCTTTTATCTTAAGGGTGATGAGAAGCTGCTACTGTTTTTAAGCAAGGAGTGACATGCTTGTGTATCTGTGTTACCATTTTGGATTGGAGTGAGAAGTCATACAAATGAAGTCATTTATCTTTAAATATTAAATGAAGGGATTCTGAGACCTCATCCTGCTTATTCTGTTCCTGCTTATTGTTCCCCTGCCTGAGTCAGTGGCAGGAGGTCTAGTGGCCTGAGAAATTTCTACCTATTAATCAGAACCAAGAAAGTGGGGCCAGCCCTTGCTTTTTCCTCTCTCTGTTCTCCTGCCACTTGGCCCTGCAGGTAGGCTTAATTGTGGAAACTCAGGGAGAGCAGATTAATTAATGTTTCTGATTTCTGATTGGAAGATGGAAAGAGGAAGCTCCAGGGAACTGGGAATACCAGAGAAACTGTAGAGAGCGAGGAACTTGGGATTGTTGATGAACTCCAGAGCTCACCCTCTGTGTGTGTGTGTGTGTGTGTGTGTGTGTGTGTGTGTGTGTGTAAATGGAACAGAATAGAGTCCAGAAGTAGACTCATCCAAATAAGGCCAATGGACTTTTTTTCAATGGAGAATAAATTATCTTTTCAAAAAATGGTGTTATAACAATTAGACATTCGCATGCGAAAATCAGCCCTTGACACATATAAAAACTAAAAATGGATCATATCTAAATGTAAAACATAAACCATAAAACCTTAGGAGGAAACACAGGAGAAAATCTTCATGACCTGGGATTAGACTAAGAATTCTTAAACATGGTGCCAAAAGCAAGATACATAAACAAAAAAAGTGATTAACTGGATTTCATCAAATTGAAAAACTTGCTCTCCAAAAGACACTGAGAAAAAACAGGCTACAGACAGGAAGAAAATGTGTGAATCACATATCTGACATAGGACTTGTGTACAGAATACCTAAGGGACTCTCAAAACTTAACAAGGAGGGAAACACCCAATAAAAAATGGGCAAAAGATATTAGAATGGACACACCAAAGAGGACATAGTTTGGCAAATAAGCACATGAAAAGTTGTTAACATGATTAGCTATTAATGAGATGCAAATTAAAAACCATGATGAGATACCTTTACGTACATATTATGGTAGCTAAAAGAAAAACATACTGACAATACCAAGTGCCAAGATGAACACTGAGCAACCGGACCTCTCATATGCTGCTGGTGGGACCATAAAGCAGTACAACCACTCTGAAAAATGGTTTGGCAGTTTCTTAGGAAGTTAAACATACACCTACTGTATGAACCAGCAATCGACTCCTAGGTGTTTTTCCTAGAGAAATGAAAACCTATTGGTTCAGCCGCTGTGAAAAACAGTAAAGAGGTTCCTCAAAATGTTTTAAATAGAACTACCAGATGATCCAGCAATTCCACTCCTGGGCACATACCCGAAGGAAATGAAAACAGGATATTGAAGAGTATCTGCACTCCTATGTTCACAGCAGCATTTCATTCAGTGCTGAAGGAAGCAGAAGTAAGACCTAGAAAGCTAAGAGAGCTCGCGTCTTGCTGTGAGCTCTGTCACAATGAGATTTCCTTTGTGTTTTCCTGCCACTCACTGTGTAAACAGGTACGGGACTCTTGTCAAGCTGTTTCCTAGAAAGCCCGTCTTTCCCCATCTGAAATGGTAGTCATTCTTTGTAGCGATGTCAAGGTTTGTAAAACACGTTCAAGTGGGAAGTCACAAAACATGTCTAGCATGGGAGACAGCTCATCATTCATCATTCATGCTAATCACTTCAGTTATGAGTGAACTTAAACTCATCTGTTTCTTTCTCCTTTGACACCTGCTACAAAGACTCAGGACAACATCCCTTGATTGTGCACAGGCATTTACAATTTGCTGCTGTTTGTGAGCTTGAAATAAGTATCTGACAATTCTTCTTAACCTAAGCCACATCATGAAGTATTGTTTCCTCCACAGTTTCAACAAAGGCAGTGGGGATGGAAGATTTAAAAGACACTTAAAGAGGAGTCCACAGAGCTTGGTAACCTACTCAATGAAGGGGGAAGGAGGACGGAGAGGGGAGGGAGAGGGAACAGAGTAAGTGTAAGTGAGTATAAGGAATCAAATGACTTTGAGGTTTCCTTTTCACAAATGAGTGGCCAGCACTGCTCTTATCTGAATTAGGTAATACAGGAAAAACATAGGCAGGGAATTCAAAAAGATTAGGGAGGGCTGAGACTTACTCCATTTTACCAGCTTATTTATTTTTAAAAGTTTGCATAAGTGCATTATCTCTTAATGTAGTGTTTGTCAAAGGATCTCAAGTGGGAATGTTACAGAGGTAATGTGGTTTTTAACACAAAAGGAATCAACAGGGGTGACAGATTTGAAGAAAGCAAGGAGACATTAATGACATTTAACAGAGAAAGCCTTACTAGGAAGTAATGGAAAATTAATAGCGAAAAGTTCTTCTGTTTGTCCCTGAAATGCAGGAGGAGAACCTTAGAACCTGTAGCATCTCTGCTAGGGAAGCTTTAAAAGCAGGAAGTCAGGAATGACTTCTCATACAGGATGAATTCGGTCCTCCTCGTGGCAAATTTCCAGGAAGCCAGACCCTTCCTGCTCAAATGATGTGGTTTCCTAGGGGGCATATAAATAGTCTTCTCCCCACAAAAGAATTAAGAATAGGAGCCAAGGACCTCCCACATATCCAAGCATAGCTGTCAATGTGGCAGGCAGAAGCACAGCATTAAAAAAAGCCATTTGGGAAAAAAGTAGGGCAAGGTAGCAGTAGGAAGTGATGAACACTGGAAACGTAGCAGAGTAAGAACAGTGCTCAGGAAGTGGGTAAGAGGGAAAGAAGCAAGAGGAACAGGTGAGGGAATTTATAAGGATATGGAGAGATGACAGCAAAGACTTCTAAGAAACAGACTCAGTGCAAAGTGGATGACCCTAGAGACTGCCTGTACATTTCTAAGAAAAGACAGAAGGTTGGAAGAAAAGCAAAGCATGACAGAATCAGACCAAAGCGTTTGCCTTCACATAGGGGTGAACTTGCCAGAACAGACCACTGCACTGCCAGTGACTCCCAGCTGGGAGCCACCACTCCCGCTGACCCACCATCCCACAGACAGGTTCAACCTTCAGAAGGCTGCCCTAGGTCCTGGGCATACCTTGCTGCCTTTCAGAGTTAAATTTCATGAGCCAATTGAAAGAATTCATACTGCACATATTCTTGAAATATAAAACATAGTCTATACCAACAGATTTTAGTTCGGGCAACATTTGGTTTCATAAGCTGTTGCCTGATCTCCTAGGAATTAAAAAAATCCAAAAGTAGATATTTATAATCTGCTATGATCTTTGTTTTTACAACCCCATGAAGGGAATACTAGTTATTTGAATATAATGACCATTTAAAGTTCTGGTATTCTTGAGACAATTAAATGACCTCTTGTCCCTTAAATAAACCATCTAATAATCTGAACTTAATTATTGACAATTCATCTTCTGAATTCCCCTAAACTTCAAATAAGGATTTTAATTAATTTATTTTATCATCATACCATTCACTGCCAACAGCTATAGTCAAAACTCAAAAAATCTTTAAGTGCCAGTATCTTCCTTTATTATCAGAGGTGATGTGATGTACCAGCTAAGTGACAAAAGCTGGAGCAACACTGTGTGTATTCAAACCCCCGCTGCACTGCTTACCAGCTGTGTGGCATTGGGCAAATTACTTATATTCTCCATGACCTGATTTCCTGATGACGATAATAGTGCCTACCTCATAGTTCTGCTGTGAGGATTCAACAAGCCCAGAATAGTAACTCTGAGTATTTATAAATGAATATATAAAGCACTGTATGTGTCACCTGTGGTTCTATTATTTTCTGATGCTCCTCACAGTTATTTTTAGTAGTTATATAAGGAGTGTAGGGAGTTTGAAAATGTGGCCAATGAGCTCTGTGATTCTCAAAACTGAAAAATCACATGACAATAATGTTATATTTTTTAAATAATATTTGGTTAATCTCAGCCTAAAAAATCTATCCCTTTGTGTTCCTCAGAGTTGAAAATATGTCAATGAGGTTGGAAGCAATCAATGAGAGAGAGAATTTTATGAAAACATCCCTACAGACTGTTGACCTGCGACTTTCTCAACTAGAAGAATTATCTACCAGAATGGTAAATGCACTTGAAAATCTTGCGGGAATTGACGAATCTGACCTCATACAGACACGGTCCCGAGCTTCTTCTGAATGTGAGGTGACTTACCTTCTAAGGCAAAGCAGCATAAACAGCGCCGATGGCTGCAGCATGTACAGATACCAGTTTAATGGGGAGGAGCTGCTGTGTGAGGAAGCACCTCTCCCCACGCCCCCAGGGACAGGATTCAGGAAGAATGCCTGTTCCTTCCAAATGAAGGAAAACAAGGAACTGAAAACACATCTGGCACCAGAGCATCAGGGCAGCGTCCACCGTTCATCCCACATGGGCGCATCGGCAACACCAGAGTGCAGTCGGTTTGCATTAGACAACGTAAAGAATGCTTCGGAGCCCAAATTAGGTCCAGATACTGGGATTTCAGCCAAAGATGATGGAAGGCACACAGACTCTATAAGAGAAGAAACAGTTTCCCCAAGTTTAAATCAAACAAATGTTGTGGATGGACAGAACAAATCAGATTTCCAAAAGCCTCAGCCAACAGTGGAAGCAACAAAGGTAGAAGGCACTGTTTCCTGTCCCCCAGAAGAAACGAAAATGACACGCTGTCACCCTGATGAAACGTCCAAGGCTCGTAAAACACTGAAATCCAGAAGCTTTGTATATTCTCGTGGAAGAAAGCTGGTCAGCGGGGTTAGCAACTGGAGTGCAGAGCACAGTTCAGTGTTGGACCAGGCACGCCCCTCTGCAGTTCAACAGTGGGCGACAGAATGGAAATACGAAGTTCAAAAGATTGTACGTTCTCGAAGTACAGATATCCCTTCCGTTGCCTCGGAAGCTGCAATGCAAGCTGAGCATAAAGAGCAATTTACAGATACCAAAGAAGAAAACTCTGTTTCTGAAACAACCCCTCAAATTTCCCATTTACCTCTCGCTGTTATTGAGAGAACTGAGAAGGAAAACTTACTGTCTGTTAAATCAGCCCAAACTTTGGGATTCCCAGCTTTAAGGTCAAAAAGTTTACACGGCCCTCCTAGAAATGTTAAAGCCATTCGGGGCAAATTAGACAGAACTGGTCATGCCTGTAGTGCAAGTAACTTAGCAGTTGTGTCTGGAATTACAACAGAAGAACACAAGGTTAAGCAAGAGAAAACTTCCGCGGAAACTGAATGCTAATGTGTTCTGTTTCTTTAGTTTTTAAATCAAAACCACTGATGAGTACCATCTTGGTCATTGAAACATCATCAATTTCTGGAATAGTTTTCATTAAAAAATGTTTGGCAATTTGGAGTCATGATTAATTTTAAATTTAATGCTAAACTTAAAGTAATATTTTGCTAGGGAATGTTAGTAAACTTAGGATTTTTAGTTGGAGTTGGATCAAATGAAAGTGACAAATACTCCAATTGAGATAAGCTTAATTAGTACACAAGATTCTACCCCCTTTTTTATTTCTGAGGGCTACCAAATAGCCTAAGAAATGCCTTTTGGGTGCCATCAATACGTTACTTAGGGAGTAAGCAACTGTGTGAAAGAGAAACTGAGGAGAAAGGAAACATGAAAAAGGGGGAGGGCTGGAAAGAAAAATGAAAATTGTCAGGTACAAGAAGAGAGAAGCAGAAAGAAGCCATAATTATCATATTTTTATGGGTTTTTTTGTTTTATCTTTAAATGTCTTACGTTTTAAAATTCCATGATGAGATAAAAGGCACACGATTATATGAGAGATCACACTGTGATAGTTTGCAGTACCAAGAATTTTGTTCATGTGTAAAAATAAAGAAGCCAGTATGTATATTCCTGTTGTCATATAGTCCTTGATAGCAAATACAAATGTACCTCTGTCTATGAGAAGGTTGTGCAAAGCTATGGCTAAAACGTAAAGGACACATGGTCAAGGTGGAAACTGCCAAGACCCACAGAGACTGTTATGGCTGAGAACACAGGGTGCCCTGCTTCAGCTTGTAAGTTCAAAGCCGCATGCTAGTGCTGGGCCCCCATGCCGGATCAGATCCACTCTCTAGGAACCCCTAAGGCCATCCTACTCCCACCATTCTTGACTCTACAAAAAAGGGCAGAGAGGGTAGGAAGGGATCTGCCCTGCCTAGAACAGAAGCCACCGACATTCACAGATATTAGAGTTGACCCCTGGGCCCTCACCATCCCCCAAGCACCCCTCTTGTGAGGTCTCAGGGGGTCTCTGGAGCACACAGAGAGGACCAGCCTCATGCCTGGAGTTACTGACAGCTATTACTTCAGTGAAGGGCTTCACTCCCGTAAAGAACCACTGAGTAGAGTATCCAGGAGTTGTTGCTGGCAGGTGGTGGGTAGGGGGTACATCAGGCAGAAGTGGAGATGATCACAAAAAAGGAGACCATTACACCCACTCTCATCTGAGGTTCAGACTGGCACATCGCCATAAATTGGCAAGAGAGGAGAGCGAGAGACTAAGAGACAGAGAGACTGATACCTTGCAGCTCTGACAGAAGTAGTGACCAGAGATAATTAACACCCAAATGAGACTGAGATTTTAATAGTCGAATCAGAATTCCTGAACTGGACTGAATTTATCAAAAGGCACTGGTATACCATTGCATGGTTGACAGGGCTTTGAAATTTAATAAATGATCAGAGTAATTTAATAAATAAAATTACTGCTTATTTGTATATTTCTACATTGAGACTATTCGGTCAGTTCCACTACATGAATTATTTGGTCAAATGATTAACCCACTACATTTTACCTGATTCCTAAATCTTTCCTGTTGGTGCCAAGAAAACTCTCAACCCTTTGTCACAGCCTGGAAAAAAGATTTCTCAGAATAAACTGGGGAACTTAGTAATGCTCAACAGAACAGGTCTGAAGAAGGCAAAGCTTCTCTCCAGAATTCTCTCCACTCATTACACAGCCCCTCTTTTCTGAGGTCTCTCCCACCTTCCCTCAGGTCTGGGGTCTGAATCCATTCCCATAAATCTTGCTGAGACACCTGTCTGCTGTTGAGGTGTTGGCTCAGAGGGATGCAAATTTTTCAGAAGATATTTGCCCTACAGACCCAAATGAGTCCACTCTCATGGTGGAATTTCAGAATCTTTCTCTCACACCTGAAATCATACCAGATAACTATGTACTCTATTAACTCAGTGCCACTCAAATACTGAAGGCCTGTTATGTATGGCACTGTGCCAGACTGCTTGTTATTATATTATTGCTTTTAACCCAGTGTCATTCAGTTTTGCTATATATGGGGAACTGACTGTTAGGAACTAATATCCAATCTGATCAACTAGCCATATCTACTACATTCAAATAGGAACATTGTGTATATCCAAGTCATTTAGTATGAAATTATCTTAGTAAATAAATTAGAAGTGTGTTTCTGTTCTATATAAAACATAATAAGTAACATATTAAAAGGTTTTATTCTTATATCCCAAATACTCTGACACACTCATAAATGGTATATTTGATATAAACTTAAAGTAAGCCCTGTTTTACTTCAGTCAAGGTGAATTGAGAATTGACTATCAAAAGACCTCATTATAAGTGACTCTCTCCTTTGAGACTGATTATCTGAATATATATTTCATCACCATGAGACTCCTATAGATTTCCATAATTTGGGTTTCAAAACTTAAAAATTAAACACTTGGTGTTGTCACCAGGTTATTCCATATCAAAAATGCATTTTGCTGAACATACATTGGAAATAAAGAGAAACAAAGTCATCATCCTACTGTCTCCCACATAAAAAACAGACAATTTTAAAGGAAACTTTGATTGTAAAATAAAACAGGCACAGAAAATCACACAAAACAAATATGACTTAATTCTAAGATGAACATCTTTATAACCACCACCCATATTAACAGAATTCACCAGCCACTCTAGCAGTTTCAGAAATTCCAAACTCCTGGCAAAAAAAAAAGAAAAACATTATCCTTTTATATGGCAATCACTTCCTTGTTGTAAAACAATGACTCCAAAATTAAGTGGCTTAAAACACCTATTTTATTAAGCTTATGGATGCTTAATAAGCACAGCAAGAGTGCCCCTGATTTGTAGTGTTTGTTGATTTCCATGGTGTAAATACTCCTAGCATGACCGATTTCAAGCTACCCATGTGACATCACTGAATATGGACTTGGGAAAATATGTCAACACTTGGCCCCTGCAAGCCAGTATGAGCCAGCTACAGCACACTGCTGTCTCTATTCCGCGGTGTTTGGGCGGCAAAGACCTGGTGTCTGGAGGTGATTCAACAGCTAAAGGCTGAAAACATCCAGAAGCACCCTCCCTTACCTGCCTGGGAGTTGATCATGGCTGTCAGCTGGAATCTGAATCTCAGCGAGAGCTGTCTACCAGACCTATGCATGGTGTCTTCCATGTGGCCTGAGCTTCCTCCCAGCACGGCAGCCTCATAGAAATCAGGGCTCCACAAGTGAATGTCCCAGTGAGAGTGGGAAATGTCATCATTTTTAATGACTCATCCTCAGAAGTCATGCAGAGTCACTTCCATTGCATTTTCATGGAAACAAGTGAGTCACGGAGGGCAGCCCAGATTCAAGAGGAGGGGTCCTCCGTGGGAGGAGTGTTTAAAATTTTGCAGAAACGTTTTAAAACCACCACACATGCATTTCATTAAAGCTTTATCACCATAGTTAGTCTTTTCATTTTTATTATTTGCTGACTCCCCCTCTGTCCCTTTCTCCTCCTTACCAATTTATCTGTTGAAGAACATGGACCGTTTGCCTTACAAAATTCCCCAGTCTAAATTTTCCTGGTTGAATATTCATGTGCAGTTTGACATGCTCCTGCAAGTTGGCAGAAGGATTCAGAGGCTTACCCGGGCTTGGGTTCAGTCCCTCCAGCAAGGCTGTTGGGCTGGTGTTGCTTCTCTCACGACGAGGTGCATATATCTACTTGTCTTTTTGTGATGTTGGCGGCTGTTGATACTCAACGCCTAGGTCCCCTAACTCAGAGGAGGTTGAAAGTGTATTGGTCAAATTCTATGATTTTCTTTCCTTTTATTAGTTAGAATACATTATAAAGGGATGATTCTTTTCATCTCCTGTTTGGTTACAGAGGGGTACAATTCATACAGTACAGCAAGGTTAATTTTTTTTTCTTTGCATACTGGTTTTATTCCAGAGGCATATGATAGAGTTACTACATGCACATAGCTTATGAAATGGAATTTTGTGCATCTTCTTCAAATACTCCAATATTGACTGTTTCTGAAAGCGCCCATTTTAATCAGACCATCACTGTAACATGATACAGAGACAATTACAGAAAGGTTAATTTGTCCAATTTATTTGCCAGTTTTCAAGATGTTGAATTCATTCTCTATCATCCTCTGAAGGTGACTGACAGATTTAAAAATAGATAGATTTAAAAATACATGTATATACTATTATGACCTCATGGAGTTAAGCATATATGATATGTCTCAATCCATTGCAATTATTATGCTCTCACATTTTCTTCCCTTGAGTACCTTAAATAAATTGCTCCATTTTCTTCTGCCCTAAAGCATTGTTGCCAAAAAGTCTGATGATAATCTAATTTTCTTTCACCTAAAAAGTCACTTGCTCTTTTTGTCCATATCCAAAGAAATTCACTTTATTGTTTCTTTGAACACCAGTTGTTTTATAAGGATGTTTTACTAATAATTCCAGGTTGATTTTCTCAGGTTCAGTGTGTTCTTTCAATGAATAGTTTCAAAGTTTTATTTTTTTAATTTTGAGCAAGTTTTCTTGAAGTGGGTTTGTGGTACCTGTTCTATTTCCTTACCCTCTTGCCCCTCTTTTCCCCAAGGACTTCCATTATCTGTATGCTGGATTTCCTTTGCCTATCTTCAGTATTTGCCACTTTCTCTATCATCTTTTTTAAATCTCTCTTCATTGATTTTTGAAATTTCCCTCCTTCTCATCTTCAACTTTTTTAAAGGCATAATCAAATGTGTTTACTTACCCTCGGGCTTCTTTTACTTTAGTCTTCATTTCTGAAATAATTTTTTCTCTCATTTCATTTTGCTCATTTCATTTGCTCATTTTCTTGCTCATTTCATTTAGAATGTTTCTAATTCTGATTTATATAGTTGATTCATACATTATTTTCTTGGTGTTATTATAGTGAGTGTTAAATAGTGGGTGATACTATTTAATGCTTTTGGGCATGCCTTTCTGATGAGCGTTAATGTCTGTAGAAGTGCTATTTTCTGTTTTTAGGCTCTTTTTCATTATAACAGTCTTCTATGGGATTTCACACTCATATTTCCCTACTGATTATTTTTTAGTGAAATTGGTTTTCTTGAACGTTTTGAAGGAGGCAGTTTTTGGAAAGGCATTTATAACTTCACAGAAAACCTTTTCCTTTTTTACAGTGTAGTATTAAAATGTTTAAAAGTCACCTTGCTTTTGGAGATTTTCTGGTCCTCCATTTTTATTTGTACCTTCTCTTTCCTCTGTCTCTATTCAGCTCAGTGTGTTCCATGCCCAAAGTTTGTCCTCAGTGTGGGCCCCTTTTTTGGAAGGAAGCTCTTTTCTGCTTCCCAGATTCAATCGCACTGTGTGTGTGTAGTGGAGGGGAGGAGATTTCCCCACTCATGACACCAAGCAATTTTCAAAACACCAGCAGGTGTCTAAGAACTCAATTCTGATGCTATCTGCCTGGAGACAGCACAAGATTCCTCAGGTTAAAGGCTCTGTCCTACAAGTCTGCTCACCACCCTACTCCACCCACTTAGATGGCAGTCACAAGCCCCAGGCTGTTGCCAATGCTTCTGACCAACTGACTACAAATTAGAGGTTCCAACAACTTCCCCATTATGCTTTTTTTCAATTATTATCATCAAATGTACATCACAGTGGTTCAACAGTCCTCCTCCTCCTCCCCCTTACCCCAGCCCTTGGGAGCCACTACTCACTTTTCAGTGACTTTTAGTCTATGTGTCTAATGCTGTTTGGTTCCTTCTGTTTTGCTTTGGTTTTATATCCCACAAATAAGTGAAATCATATAGTATTTGTCTTTCTCTGTCTGGCTTATTTCATTGAGCATAATCCCTCTAGATCCATCCATGTTGTTGCAAATGGCAGGATTTCTTTTCTTTTTGTGGCTGAATAATATTCCATTGTGTGTATATACCACATCTTCTTTTTCCATTCATCTATTGATAGACATGTAGGCTGCTTCCATAACTTGTCTATTGCAAACAGTGCAGCAATAAATATAGG